TCATATGATGCATCCTTGCATCGGCGACGATGACAACGTGTGACCACCTACGAAACTGAATTAGAACAACTGACGCGCCCCGCACCGTCTAGCCGAATACAGTTGTGGAAAGGATAGTCCCATTAACAAGAAGCCTCCCGTCGATGACATGCTACGTGATTTTGCTTTGATGAAAGCTTTCAACAACTACATTTGCCATAAGTGCAATAACTCTGAAATCTCGCTCTTATCCTTATACAAAATTTTATTTTGATGAAAATTCCTTAAGATACAGTCTACAAATCATGGATTCATATACTTTCTTGAATAGCCCGCTTTGTGTTGACCATTCAAGCGTCGAGCGCAAAATTGCTAAACAACTTTTTGTACGCAAGGAATGCTATGAACAAGAAATGTAACCTGCTGTATCCGTCCAAGCTAGATGACTTCATGTTCTTATGTTCAATGCTACTGTCACCGACGGTACATGTTGTGGCTTCACCGATGGATTTTCTCTAATCTCTTTGGGTCCAAATCAGGTATCATTTTGAAGTTGATTTGGGTTATGGATTGGGTATCGTGTTTGTCTCTTTCAGGTTTGGATCCGGTATGGATCCCACAAGCGCACATCCATGAGCATGGGTCGGGTTTGGGTATGAATTTTAGATGCGATGCAGGTCACAACAGCTTGAGTACCAGTTACTTAATTTCTTCATCTTTTTGAACGATTGACTTCAGCAATGTCAAATTCTTAACATCCACAAAGCGCTTGTATCTGTGACATTTCTTTCAAGATCTCCAACGACTCTCACAAGCTTTGCACAATTGTTACTTGACTAAACTTTGAAATTCATGCGCAGCTTGGTCTCAAATTTCTTGATTTTTTCATCTCTTTGAGGAAGACACTTCAACAACGTCGACTTCTCAGCACCCACAGAGCTTTCATCTCAAAATTAATTCTCTCATTATTAGCTTTGACCTTCTCTAACTTCACAAAGTCGCTAGAGTTTTGAGCTTGGGTTTGGGAAGATAATTTGGATACTGATTTCTTAATTTTGTTTTCTTTTTGAGATAGTAAATCCGTATCTCAAAATCCTCTCATTTTGAAAACCTTTCCATCATGACCCAAAACTACCTTCTCCAATTTTGCAACGACATTATTTGGCTTGACGGATAAATGTTTGCTGCGTAGGCTTTGTGGATTTGGACTTTGATGACTCCTTTTGCGAGCCATGTGATTTGTAATCTTTTCTACTCTTTCTTTAAGCTCAATACCATTATGTGATTGTGTTAATCCCAAGTTCACCTTAGAATTTTGAATACAAATTTTAAGTAAAACAATGATCAAAGAAAAATACTTAATGACACGATTTTTGTTTGTCAAAGATCAAAAGTCATACAAGCTAAACATGAAATTCACAAAATAAAATAATCTGATTGCAACATGTGTGCAATTCATACAATAATTAAAATCCATCATCATATCAATGATCTTTAAAATTAATGATTTTCACATGAGGTTCATAATATTCAAGCTTTATGAAGTCTATTTATATAATATATTTAATATTTAAAGTGATTTATGTTAAACTGAAGTTTTTCAAAAGTTAAAAGATACAAATGAAATATCCTGAACAATGCAAACTCAACGGGAAATTCTATTGGATGATGTCAATCAAAGACTTATATTTATATGAAAAAATTTGTATTTATTGACAGGTAAGAAGATAAATGTGAATTTTTTTAAGCTAAATTATTACATTCATGGCACTCGACATTGATCTTTCATATTTTTATTTGTTTGGTGTAAGAAGTGAAAATTTAAATATTCATTTTTTATATTTATGCACTATTTTTTAATCTAATGAAAAAAAGAAAGATGAACAAGATTATTTAACACTAATACAAGATAGAGGTAAGATTTTTAATATAATATATGAAACAAATGGAAAAAATCCAACGAAATAAATGAAAGCATAGATTCAAATATTAACCTTTTAATTAAAAGTAAATCTAGAAATCTAAAAATAATACAATCAAATATACATTGATATGGCGATAGGATCAATAGTTATCAATCTGTGCAATTTTTTTGTTTGAATATGATTGTTGTCAAATGCAGAAAAAGAATTCTTATTTCAATACTTTTGTTATTGACATTGATAAAAACTTTGTCAATTGCAATTAATTTTTGTCTGTAAAATAGTTCAAACAATTGCATATGAATTGTAGAAAATACAAAAAATTGTAATCAATTTTGAATGATTTATCAATTAAAAATAAATTTTTTTTATGTTGATAATTTTTGCTTTAGTGTGTTAACATGTTTTCTTGATAGAACTTGAATTTATTTGATATCATAACATATTTATACACTTTTAAGTATAGTCATGTGCTAACTTATGTATTTAAGTTGGAAATATGTTGATTTGTAGCATATTTGAGCCACTTTTGAGTTTTGTTTTGCACTTCCAGTCTTCACATGTATCGATTTAAGGTTCTGTTTCAAAATTTGAGATTTACATGAGATAACTTTCAACATGCTTTAAGCTTGATGTAGATGGGAAGTAATTTCATAAATGGTAAATGGTAAATATTCATATGTCTATATTTTGAATGAGTGTATTTTTTCCCATTTGCAGCAGATCAAATGCTTCACATCTGTGCGTGAAGGAAATCGCAATTTTCAAAAAATGAGCCGAACGAACTTGTTTGTTACATAAATGAAGAGAAAGTAAATGTTTCTTTGTACAAACAGCTAATGAGATGTGTAGTTTGTTTCACAAGGACGGCATCTAACATTGTTCCTGTCGCATATATAGTAGATTGGGAATGATGAAAAAACACTCTTTGATATAGCTCAAAGTCACAGTACGAATTGAGCTATCTCAGAGTATATTGTAACTCTGTAACTTGTTTGGTTACTGCAAGAGCAGGCATTGCAGAACGATGACGGTGACAACTTCTATCTCAAGTGTCGGTTGGTATCAGCCAGCACTCAATAGTCCTCTCTCTGGTTTCCGCCTATTGGCCCCGATGCTCGGGTCGGGAGATCCTGAGCATCACAGCCACTCTAGGGGAGCTGGATTTCGGTACCCTTACTGGTGTACTGATCCTTACTTCTTAGCACTCACTCAGATATCCAGGTATTGTGACGATAGCTAAATTTCTCTCCTTCTTTCTGAATGCCATACCGCGGGCTCAATATTGATTTGGGCTTAGCGAAGGAAGGTCTTGACTGAAATCTGCTGCTGTCTCATCTCGCCTGATTGCCCCGAAAAGCTCTTGACCGCTTTGCGCCCAAACGCAACTTGGCTTCTTACTCTGACTCACCTGATTTTCAAAAAATCGAATTTCTTATCAAAATGTCACGGCGACACTTAGATACTGCATTGGATGTTGCTTCAGTCCTGGCACATGTGATATGATGTGCAAGTTCGACAAGAAAATAATAGTTTCATTGACTTGAACCTAGGCAGAGTAGAGGGGACTTAAAGATGCTTTTTGCAAAACTCCATGGTGGGGTAGATTGCATTTTTGGTATACATCCCCTGTCATAGCAACTAGCCCATATTTTTTCCTTTATAAACTAAATATGTGAAATGTCTGTCGCATTCCACTTTTAAACAGGCGCACAGTGGGAAGGTGATTCCAATGTGGGGTACTACGGGCGAGCATATATGTTCACTTAAGCTCTCAAAGGACAGTTTGAGAGAGTCTCACGGATGGTCTTACATTTAGATAAATTTCTGATCGTATGTCAGAAATTTAGGAGTGCGCTCAGGACTTAAAGTTTTCACTTGCACGTCTAACCAGCTTACACTCGAGGAGTTTATCCACAGAGCCTCTGAACTGGTCAAATCTATGAAAGATTTGTGTTGAATGGAGTGTACCCATCGAACACCTTAGGGGTCAATCGATGTTCAGCTGGGCAAGTCCAGTTGGAGCAAACAAATAGAACAACAGTCTTGAGATATGGAGCACTGAGATGCACAGTCCGCCTAAAGTTGAAGCAGTGTCGAGCAGGCTCTTTCTGTATTTGAGTCGTGCACGACACATGCAGATATACTCCTCAAGACAGGGCATTTTCTCCACCATGTGTGGCAAAACGTGTATTTCTACGGTGATTGAGCTGAGCTGCCTTGCCCTGCATATGTACAGGAATTGCAGATCGTGCTCCCGGAAGCTTCTGTCCACCGGTTCGTGCAAGACTTCATTCAGGCATGCCATTGCCGACGGTCGGTCGGAAATCAAGCACATGTCAGATTTAGATCAAGCTTGTATATGGCTCATTCTTCGTCACTGATCATGATGAGTCTGCGATGGTTGAGTTAAGATCTCGGAACTAACTTGCCATCAGTCGTCTGACCATGGCCGATTTTAGGCGATGAGGGCAGTGAACATTCAGTTCACCGTCGCCTGTCCCTTCTCATAAATTACGGATTCTGTCCTACAACTATAATTATATGTTTCTCCAACACGACAACTCAACTTTGCAATCTCTGCGAGCAGTACATCATGTACCGCGTCATCAGGCACAGTCTCGCGTTTAAAAGGGTTCTAGGGCTCGCGCGACCATGACTTTTGAGTGCGTCTTATTCCCCCAATTATGAGAGGAACGAATCTCATGGTGCGCGAAAATTCCAACTCCCAACTCTGATTTCACTCGTCTTGGTGAAAAGCTCTCTATGATTGCTTGATGGGTCCAGGAAATTGACCAAGGTTTGTCTAGAATAGTTCGGCGGCTGCAGGCATCTGCCCCACTAGCTACTCGTGAACCAGAAACGTCGCAGCTGATTGTGGAAAGTAAGGCCGAAGAGCGCTTTGCACGCGAGTGATCGTGGATACTGCAGGGCAGATGACGAGCGGATTCTATGAACCGACGACAGTGACCCAATCACTTTTAGTCTTTCAAAGTACTGCGCTGACTCTGAAGTAAATGCTTAGATCTACCTTGCAGATTTACTCACAGTCCACAAAAAAGATGCCATTTGAGACGAACATTGTTTCAGTCAATTGCATGGAAGTCCATGAAATCAGAAGAAATTCCATAACGAGATGAGCATCGTCGCATCCATCGTACTGAGATAGCGAAACGAAAGCGTCAGTGCTACAATGCAACGATTCACGGCCTCCGATACTCACCAAGATGTAGTGGAATTCACTCCCTAAGAGGAGAAAGAATGAAGTGCAGTTCGTTCACAGAAAATGCACTTGTTTGGAAGGTTAATATATATGGTTTCGCACTCGACCAGTGAGCTGCAAATCGATACTCGGCATGTATAACGGGAATTTAGCTCGTCTTGTCCATAGCTATGCACCCCTATATAGCCTGAATTGATCGCTCCTGAGTGTACACGTCCTTACAGTACCGGTGGTCATTCAAGACCAGTGACCAGGGAGCTATATATTACACGTTTATACATATTTGCTCAATCGGAGACCTCTGACAAAACTTATTCTAGAGGATCGAGCATGTATGGCTGGGGAATGAACCTAAACACCGTAGGAAACTGCGGCAGTGGCCCATGTGTTGGGGCCGAGGTTTTCCAGAGGCTCTTCAGTGTCCTCGAAGATGCGCTTCGTGTACGAAGAGTTGAGATTCTCGTGCTGGAAGCCCATCGCTTGCAGCACTTGGTTGTCGGCGAAGTTGAAAGCCCTCTCCATCTGCTGAGCGCATGTGTCCGAGGTGTAGACAGGGTTGTTGTTGCCCGAGCAGGGCTGGCACCCTGTGAAGTGCACGACGAATGGCCAGCGCTTGTCGCCCTGGCCCGGGTGATTGCCCGGGGTCACCATGAGCTCCTCGAACTTGTACACGAAGTCGAGCCAGTAGCCGCTCAGCTCGTAGGCCCATTCCAGCTTCACCTTGGCACGAAGCTCGGGCTTCGTGAGCAGCAGGTACACGAGCGCCGATTGGTCGTCGGCTGGCATCACTGGCCTCTTGGTGAGGAACTCAGTGAACAGCTTTCCCCACTCGTTGCGGACCGTGCCTTCGGGGCCCATGGGCGCCCACATTTCCAGAAGATCCAGAGACCACTGACAGTTCCGGAAGAAGAACACCCCGTTGTTGACAGCGATCCAGGCCCTCTCGGTGTAAATTCCTTTATCGTATCCCCACATCACCAGATTGTAGTCTCCGTAAGTTTCCATCGGGATCTCGAACAGCATGTCTGTGAACATGGCGTCTGCGTCCATCCAGAAAAACCATTCGATCTCGGGATGAGTGAGCATGAGCTTGCGAATGATCGGCAGCTTTGCCCAGTACGATGACATCTCCCTGTCCAGATGGGCGAGATTATAGAACAGCTCGATGTCATGCTGCCGGCAGTAGTCGATTTTGTTCTTAATCGACTTCAGCATCAGATGATCTCCTCCCGGATTCTTGCAAGCCCACGGTTGCGTACCCGTGATCATGAGCATACGAGGCTTTCCGTTCGGCGTCGTCCTCATGAATGGGTACTTCTCGAGCCAGCCCAATCGCAGCTGGTCCCAGTTCTTCGGATTTTTCCCCAAGCTGAAGGGTTCCGATGCTGTGAGATTGGATGACCCTCCCTGCTCATTGGAATCATCTACCGGAGGCTGCTGAATTTCTTGAATCAGCACCTCCTCTTCCTTCCTCGGCTTCTTCTGCTTCTTCCGCTTCGCTCTCTCGTCCTTCACGGGCGGATTCTGATGCTCTTGCGGCTTGACGTTGTTCGATTCGATCGACGCCTTTTCCTCACCATTAGCGGCTACAGTCGGGGACTCTTCGATCACAACCGGAGCTCTTGACTTTTCGGGATGCCTAGGAGGTGGTTGTTGTTCTTCAACGACGACCGATTCGAGCTCCCGGACGCTCTTTTCTTCCACCTGCTGAGCTGACCATTGAAGTCAGATTCAATGGGCAAAGCGTAACAACATGGGGAATTGCACTTGAAGAGAATGAGAAGAATCTTATCGAAGGACATTTGCTACAAATGGTGCTAGAATTTAGCAGCTTTGAGTCAGAATTTCAATTCTCGTCTGTCACGTGTCGCAATTGTTATCACTTCCCGGCCTGTTAACACTTTCTATTGAGCTTCAAACAATCAAGTGGTAAACAGATAGTGCTCTACAGACCTCTACAAAGCATTTACTGCAACACCCGAGACACGACATTCACATCTAATCTCCCTCCCTCCCTCCCTCTCTCTTGACAGAATTTTGTTGGTACTTTTCTCCTCGACGAGAACTCATCACCGTCAATGCCAACAGGTGAGAGAAAATCCATGAAACTTATTCAGTCGACTTGGTAACAACACGTGCAAGTAAATTACCGATGCAATGTTGCGCTTCGGTCCGATCAAATTATCCATGACATTCGCCTCAACTGGTGAGGCCGTGTTCAAGGTAAGCTCGATCCCAACTCCGATCGAATCCCTGAGGAGAACCACGGACCCCACTGTGCAGAGCAGAAGAATCTGCAGAATGTTGACAGTTCTTGAACCCAGTCTAGCCTTCATCATTGTGGGCCAGTTCCAGATATTCATCTTGCTTTCCCTGTGAAGTTTGAAGCAAAGTGGAATTGAGATCAGCACATAAATGCGTCGGGAGAAATCCCACGAGTCACAGAGACCTGTGTGCTCGTTCGGGATTTGACTCCTGCCTTCGGAAGCAACTCATTCGGTTGCAAGTAGACTGCACCGAGAGATCTCTTCCATGGGCTGTGAGCTACTCCAGTCGGAGGCTAGGCTATAGCATGATATAGCCTCAGAGCATGATCATAATCAGGGACTTCCTGATATGACTTCTAAGTCTGAGAGTCTACATTCAAGCAGGAAAACACAATCGATGCAAAATGTTTGAATCAAAAGGTTCTCCTAGTGCGAGTTGGGTTGAGACACTTTGTCCGCCGTATCAACAAATTGGAGATACGACGGGTTTGGAGGCTGCAGGTCTCGGCCCTCTCCTGAAAGATATTCACCAAGCTCCTGCAAATGCCCCGCCCCATCATGCCTGTCATTCCTCAATGATTTTATACTTCTGCTTTTCGAAAATCGAGCAAGAGGGAGGAAGCCACACCTTCTGTTCTGTGTGAAGATTGATGTTCACTTGTCCATTGGCGCATCAATCTCGCACCACTGCAAGCTAGGATGGTCTTCCACGGTTCCACGTTCTTCTGGCTCCATTTTCCTGCCTAGAATCCCCTCTCCAAGCCAGCTGTGGCCTGAAATGTGTAAGCTGGCCATCAGGACATTGGCATTATTCGGTATCTTGCATGTCTCTCTCACATCTGAGGCTCTACGATCAGAATCGAATTGTGCATCAATGAGGCTCACAAACCTGTGGTTATTCCCAAAGTTATTCTAACGAACTAGTTGCTGCGGCAGCATCTACCATGCGCATGTAACTCGATACTACTACCATCACGACCATGATTCACGTCAGCGCTATAGTCAAGTTTCCTGTGGTCGCTGCGCAGCTCCGGAGCTTGTAATTTCTTATACCAGATTTAGATCTCTGAATCTTCTGTGCTGTTTTTAATTAAGCGGATCTGCTTGTATCGAGGATGCTGACCAGTTGTTCATTACAAAACATGCTTACACTCATTGGCTCCATGTGTTTAAACGTTTTGAAGATTCTCTGTTGCACTCCCCTAACTTTCGCTGCTTGTCTCCACGACTCAGGACTTCTGACAAATAACAAAGAGCGTCAACTCTGGCTCATGTACTTCCATTCACGCAGTCACAGGATGTTCTTTGTCAGTTTCGACAAGTAGGACGCTAGTGCGAGATCGCTTCACCTGATACGTGCAAACGATACTGTATTCTCAGCTTGCTAGAATGATCCTGCCCCCACATGCTTTTGGTCACAGCCGAAAGCAATTACTTAATGAATAGTCTGTCCCTGGAGAATATGTACCTGCTTTTGTGTTTGGTCCACCAAAAGGTGAATGGTTTGGACTTGCGAGAAGGAGAATGTTTAGTAAGCAGCAATGATATAGTACCTAAGGACTGTGGGTAGATTGAATTTCGAGCAAAAAGTCCTTCATCCCTATCTGCAGACTGACCGGGACAGAAATCAGGAATTGGACATGCCTGCCTGTTTCACCATCACCTGGTGCGGACTGCATTTGAGGAATCGCAGGGCTGCTTTTGTCGAAGAGTGTGACATGCAGGCCCAAGAAGCCCAAAGTATGGTCCTAGGCGAGCCTAGGACGATACTTTGGGCACTTGGGCCCAGATCTTACACGTCACCGAACAAGGGAACTGACCTTTCAGCAGTCGCGGAGAGAGAATAAACGAGCTTTTGCAACGATTGATACTTGAATTCTCTCGTTTGTTCTTACCTTACAAAGTTCTTTCACCAAGTTTCCTTTGTATACTGCCTGTAACCCTTTGTTCTGGGCTGCTCGTAAATCGGAAATTCCTTCACATCACCCGGACTCAGTTGCTCCTCACTGCAAGGAGGAGCCCATGATCCTCGATAAGCTGGTTCTCCTCGATTCCATGATCCTTCTTTAGAAACTCGCATCGAACTCGGCTAGTACTAAATAACAACCCCAATAGTGCATGGAAAGTTCATTCCAAAGCAGTCGGCCCCACTGCCATGAGATTCGGACCAGTAGCAAAACCGTGTACTCATACCTTTTGAGGCATGCATAGTGCAATAATCCAGAAAAGGTGATATCTACGCCTGGTTATGCCCTCAACGTCAAAGTAGGTGGGAATCTACCTTCATCCAGGTCCATTAAGTGAAATCAACTGGATCCCAGCCGAGAACAAACAAGACATTGTCTTCCTTTGCCGTCCGATGGTATCATTTGACCTCTCCAGAATTTCAACATGATCATGAAGCAATTTGAGAATGTTTGTCTTGCAGACTCGATCATGGAAATGTTGGACGTACCACATTGAATGCAGCGAAGTGAACTGGCCTCCCTGCGTATTTTAGTATATGATAATCACACCTTTCCTCCGTTGCCAAGCTAGTCTCCAAGGAGTAGAACCTTTTCTGATCAAGAGGTCAACAATGCCGACTGATCAAATTCTGTTGAGTGAGGTAAAAATTTAAGATTCCAAATGTAATGGAGTCAAAGACATTAAAGGTTTTAGAATTCAATTGACTTAGTAAAGCATTGACGATCCTTCTTCCTAGCCTGAAACCAAGACCTGCAGATTTGCTTTGAGTATCTTCACTGAGATAGCAATGGCCGGCGCGAACTTAGCAGATTGTTTGAATATCTTAGGCAATTTTTAACTCGTTTCATGTACCCAACCTAAGCTGTGTCAAATCACGATGAAGCGGTAGTCGATGCGTGAAGTGGTTTTATAGCTGGATGATAAGCGTCACCTTACTGTTTCGGCAATAATTCGCAGTTTTTATAAGTTTTACATTCTTTTGATTATATCTACAAACTCTGTTGCAACCTATCCGGGCATAAACGTGATCATCATTATGACATGATGATCACGTTTATCTACTTTCTAGACGAAAGACAGTTCAATAAAGTATTGGCTCAGCTGGAGTCTTTAAGCTTTGCAACTTGTCCCATATTTACATTTGCAGCGATCTAAGAAAAGAAATCATTAATATTGGGACAATCAGTATGGTCACTCAGCTGACCAGCATGTATCATTTGTATGACCACCGGCTACAACATCAGTTGCGTACACACTTCATAAGGCCTCGTGCTCTATTTTCATAAGATTCTGTTTCCAAACGATCCAAAGCTGGGAATAATGTCACGGGCAAGGCTATCAAACATTTCGGATTGATTTGGAGTTTTGTTTCCCTTGTATGTGCAGGATCTCTTTGATATCTCAACTAAAAGTGTGAAAGGGATACAGGTGGTTCGTACACTCGATAATTGGTAGTTGACAACCTTTCTGTCGTTGCTTGACATACTGATGAAAGCCTTTGAGCTCATTTCTCCTGAATCATGATGTATGTCAGTCCAAAATACATTTGCATCTGGCTGCAAACGTCGATGTTATGCACGCAAACGTCATTCATACGACTCAGATGTCGAAATGTGAATCATTCTGGTGCCAATCTTGCGGCCATGTGCTTACATGAGACCAGACCGAAAGATTTCCTGTATATCCTGCTCGGGTTCGGTTCTCGAAAGGTCATAAAAAATAAGAAAAACCGGATCTGTCAATTGACTTCAGACTGTACCTATTGCTGCTGGTCAGGCAATCTGAAACAACCTTTTGTTTATAGGATGCGTTTATTTATATCCTCACGATCCGATGGAATGAAAATCAGAATGTGGAAAAGATCCGACCTTGCAATGGGACCATAGTCCGGACAGGACATGAACAGGAGACCACGATACAAGGCTCGTGTCGAGAGGGTTGGCGTAATTGAGCCTCTTGGACATATATCTAGTAGCATGCGTAGGAGCAAGGATTGACTACCTAACAAGATCGCACCGGAAGCCACATTCTGGTCAATCTCCTCTGCAATTCTGAATCACAATCTTTACTATCTAGACGCGGTCCGAGACATCACGCCGAGGGATGCTGTGAGTGGAGAAACTGTAGTCAGGTCGCTGCCACTGTCAATGGATGTCATGTAGTCGTGCAGGCTGGAGCTGGAGTTTTGAGTTTCCCTCACGAAAGAATCACAGTTTCAGTGGATCTAGACTTCTTCACCGACGAGTAATCAAGCCCTAACAGATAAACGATCCATCCGGCTCTGATTTCCTGGCATGTAAGAGTGTCAATAACCTGTTCTTTTTGTGATGTCTTTCTGTTCACAAGCTGAATAAACCTCTGCAGCCATGGAACCTCGTTAAACCCACAACATCCACTGGAGGTGCCCAGAACTGCGCAGGTGACTAAGTGTTAAGGAAGCGCGTGCTAAATTAAAGTGATGGATCATGAAGTATTGGAACTAATGCTAAGGCAGCCACGTAGTACACAAGGCTAGTAGTGTCATAATGGTGTTCAAAATTACATGTAAGGATTTTTTCTTTGCGCATAGGGTTCTAGTCATCTCATTACTGAATTCCACTTTGAAGGTTTTCAGAAATTTCTCTCCTTCAAAAGGTGATAATAAAAATTAAAGAAAGTAAACACTCATGTGAAATTCATTCCATTTTGTGGTTGAAATCCTCTACTTCTTGCACTAGTTACTTTTCCACGTAACAGTACTGTTAAACTTTCAACTTCAGAATCCAAATCTCAAGAGCTCTAATTCAAACCCTTATTACTAGGTCTTCTGATAGCAATGGTGAGCAAAAATTGTTATAATGCAAACCACAATTTATTATGTACATCAGAAAGAAATTAGTTAATGTACGCACTCATCTCTAAAATTTTTGTTTGCTGTATATAAATTCATCTAGCTACATAGAGTTAGCATATAACGATTCTCATCATGTAATTTTCTCTAAGTATGTATCATAAATTCACACAAAACTTCAACAATTACACAAGAAAATATTACGTTAGCAAGATTTTTTAGACATCTAAATATATATTTATTGATTTTCCACGTATCAAGTGAATGTGAGATTACTCTTCACATCTTAAAAACTGCCTTTTAAATTATACTATACGTTTATACAATTTAAGAAAAATTTTGCATTTTTAGTCATTTTCAGGACAAAAGAAAAACAGTTTGAATATAAGGATGAATTTTCACAAACATGATATTCAAATGTAGCATGAAAAAATTTACATTATTTCGTATGAAATAAATCGCTTGTTTATTATGTGTTATTTAGTTAGGTTATTGAATAAGCTCAATAAATATTAAAGATTCATAAAATTGATTATGTTTGTAAAAATTTTTACATTGATATTTGAATTCATCTGCAAATGTTACAAAATAAATGTGGCAAAGTCTTGATCACATTATTTTACTATTACAATCTATTGTAAGATGATGTGTGGAAAAGGGCTTCCATCGGGTTCGGGTAAAACCCGAAACCCCGGGGTCGGATCAAGTCAGGGCTGTACCTCACCCAACACGCGAATATTAATCTGGGCGGAAGAGCCGCCCAGATGTTTCGTTATCCGAGAGCTCCAGGATAGACTTTCTTGTAAAAAAATATGCAAGGAGGTTAGAGGCTGATAACTCACCGAAACGACGAGACTGTGAAAGCATCCTCTCGAAGCTTTTTCAAGTGTAGGTAGCGTAGCGTTCTGTAAATCGTCAAAGGTTGCTGTTGACATCAACTAGAGATATCCAGGTGATTATTCTGACATGAGTAAAGCAACGACCGATAAGAGCTGAGCTGCAAGCCAGCTGGTACGTTGTTGTCTGCATCCACTTCGTTTCGCAA